AAAACTATTGACTTGGTGTGTGTGTGTGTGTGTGTGTGTGTGTGTATATATATATATATATATATGCATTCACAAGCAATATTTAGATAATAGTATTGCGGTTTATAATAATTTTCATAAAGACCTAGTAGATCTTGCAAGACTATGTGGTTTTCTCAAAACCATATTCATCGAATTAAGTTTTTATCAAATCATCCAATTTAATTTTAAAATACATGCTTAGTTTTTATAAATCATTTTATCGCATTCACCTTTAATTTCCTACCAAATCAAGTTCATGGCCACAAAAACAAATCATATATATCATCTTATAATTTTATCTAAAATAAAGCATTACTAAAGGATGATTATTAAAGCCTTGATAACGTATTTCCTTTTTGAGAAATATGGAGAATTTATCAAGAAATCATCATCACAAATTATAGACATTATTGGGAGGATGGTCACTAAGATCGAGTTTCATCAGAACACTCAATTCATGCTTACATATTTGAATGAATCATATCTATCTCTCATATTTCATCCTTAGGGCTCAAAGCCCTTAATCAAATCACATCTCCATGTGTATTACTACCTTAAGTAGTTCATACTCTAGCATAATGAGACACTAAAATACTTGATATTCATAAATCGGCTCTTTCAAATTTGTTAGCACTCATCACTTAATGTCTATACACTCCATACATATTCATAAAATAATTAGCCAAAATATAATCAAAGCATATCAAACGTAAAATTAAAAAGTTATTGAATCATCTTTCCGTATATGACCTTACTATATAATGTGAGATAGATTTCATACCTCAAAACTATGTAATGTGGTACTTGGGCTTTCTTAATTCATTGCTTTTGCTTGTTTAACAAGCTTTTGTGATCTTGGAAGAGCACACAACTGATGGATAATATATTGGTCATTGGTTTCACATGTCACGAAGTGTCCATCTCTTCGGCACTTGGATTCTCCCTATCTCACATCGTGAAGAAATTCTCTTCTTCATTCAATCATTTCAAATATCACAAATTTGATTCTCCCACTGATCTTTAGCATTTTTTTGCTACCACCAAGTCTCTCTATGTATCCCTTCATCTTGAAGAAACCAAATATTTTTATAGGTATTGTGTTTATTCTGCTTTATAATGTTCGTAGATCGAAAACTCTTCATATAGAGTGTCATATATAGCTAACTTTGTATTACATCTCTCTAAAGTTTACTATAATAAACCATATTCATCGCACACTATAAATTTTTTTAAAATGGGCCCTAAAAAGGTTTCTATAATTAGGAATCCAAAGATGTGTCTTATCATGACAACTCTTTTAATTTACTGCATAATAGAACGTGAGAATCCCATGATAAAAATATGTTATCTCTCAACTCATAAAGAGTTTATCTCCGAATCCTTTAAAGTATTGAAATAGACTCAAAAACATCAAATAGTGATCAGTTCCATCCCTAAATCATACCATTTAGTGAGTCATCATTTTAGTAACATTTACATCATAATACAATTTTTTCAGTAGAAAATCAGGTTGAGCATCTCTCAATAAAAAATTTGTTTATCTCAATCCTCAAAGAATTTTTTCATAAAATATTTTGTGTTGAAAAGTAGAATCAAAATAAATCATAACTTCATAATGTGAATCCCTAATAATACATTTCTTTAGAGAAATAAATAAGTGATATTCATATTATAAAATAAATCATACTGCAGAATTCTAGGTTGAATACTATCTAATAAAATTATCTTTTGTCTCTACCCTCATGTAGTTTCCCTTTCAAACAAATTTTGTTTTAAAGTAGATACATAATAGTAACACAGATGTTTCCACAAGCATCATATCCCTCTGTTAAGTAGGCTTGATAAATATAGATATTCATGTCTCAATGAACACCATACCAAATTGCAGAAAATTTAAGATGACTTCCCTTCAATCCAAAATTTTTATTCCTCGCTTCCCGTAGATATTTCTCTCTCAAATAAATTTTATTAGAAAATATACTCAAATGCAAGTTTAAAAACTTAGCGTGGACCATAAAACATTTTGTTAAGAAAGGAAATAAAATCATGACTTCTAAGTTATGTAAATAGTTTTTGTTGCAGAAAATAGCACTTGCTCACCATTCAATAAATAAATCATATCTTTCAAACCACAAGGAATTCTTGATGAAACTATTTTTGTTTAAATTTAGACTCAATTTTATGATTTATAGTAAAAGTTTAGCTAGAAATAAAGTCATATGATATGTAAGAAAAATTACGAAACTCAAAGGACAGTTCTTAGATTTTGGAAGGTCAGAACTGACACCTTTCATTGATGAGGCCATAACTCTCAATTCCCTAAGGATCTCCTACTAAAGTTTTGTAGATAGATCCTACTCGCAAAGATACATAATATCAATGAAGTATGCAATAGAAAAATGCATCATTATCTTCTTTATATCACTCCTCCAAAATAGCCCAGAATACTCATTCTGCATAGTACTTTTTTTTCGTTGTTTAAATATTCCAATAATTCTTAACCATGGGTGTATTATGTGATCACAAAAGTCATTAACTTTCTTATATCTCATTTTTAAGTTTGATCTAGACTCAATAAAGAGAAAGACAACTAATGACATTAAGTATCAATAGCTCTAATACCAATGAAAGAAAGACTAATGCGACCCTCTTAAAACATCTTAGAAATGGATTTTTAATCTAAAATTTTAGGGATTCATGATCTAGGTTAAGATGATTATTAACATGAAAAATAAAATAAATTTTTTGATATCTAAAATGTGATTTTTTTTAGAAAAAAATTAAAACCATGTGAATTTTTTTACAACGTCCATCTTAAAGATGGATGTTAGTGAGTCAGCAGGGTCTTGCACCCGCTGACTCATGAAGGACTTTTCCAAGTAGAAATCAATAAAGTATATTTTTGTCGACCAAATATTCAAAATGTTCTTATCTAATAAAATTCTGAAATATGACTAGATAATCAAACTGGCCAAAAAAATGAATAGCAGAATAATACATAATTCAAATAAATGAAAAGCCAACAATGCTCTTATTCAATTTTTTTAAATCTGAATATTAAAATTTTATTTTGTCAAACAGACCCTTAAGGAAGATGATTAGGTTAGAAGGTGCAGTGCTAGAGCATGGTTGGGACCAAATATAATAAGGAGAGAATGATGAGGACTTGAGACTTTTCTGCCTGGCACTTGGAAACGTGTTGTATTTATGCCTAATGCAACTTGGTCCTCAAGATAATGGGTTTTTAAAGTTTGGTAGATTATTTATTCGCCACATAAAAAGAGACGACTTTCGTCTTGAAATCTTATGATTAATCTAAATAAATATTAATAAGAGCATCTTAGGGTTGAGCAATTTACATCGTATCTAGTACATTTCGTATTAGAAGGGGTGTCACTTACGGTAAAAAGCTTGGGTAGCTAGCGCAAAAGCGTCATTTTGAGTTATGAGAGCAGCCAGTTTGTGCATAAGTCAAAGGCCAGCCCACTCCTCCTCTGACCTTGCTTAGGCGAAACTAGCACCGGGTTACGACCCTTCTATAGTTCATTTCGTGTTAGATATTAAAAATGAGCACATAAGCATGCTCCTGAAATTTTATAATTTTAATGTTTTCAAAGTAGGTATGCCATTCCCAAAGGTTCATGAAGGCTCACAAAGGTTCACTATGAAATAACATACAGTGCTAGAAGAATATGAAATGTTCATGGAGATGTTATTTCATAATAATCAAGGGTATTTTAGTTATTTTATTTTATTGAAAAAAAAATTTGTAAATATTTTTTGTTAGTGCAAGTTTAATAGAGGAA